TGCTTTATATACCCGAAAAGGATGAGAAGAAGTAAAAGTATATTTCCAATATTAATGCATTACCGATACTAATGCATATATTTGCCACCTTCCAGCCGCAAAAATTAATGGTTTCATCAACGCTAGTCTAGACTAGTATTTGTCATTCAGTTCAGAATATTTTTTTTTGTTTAATAGTTTCACATTTCTATGATAAATACTTTTTTCTTATTGTTGTTTTCGATGGCACCTGAACATTGCTATACTACCCACTAATACACTTTTCCAAAAATTAAACGAGACTTAAAAAAAGTTAACCTTCGTTTATAAAGACTACGTATTTAGAGTGTATTCCAATGACTTCGAGGTCATTGATGTAATAATTTTCAATCTGGGTAGTGCGTGTAACACACGATCCACCTATGTCTATCTATAAATTGCTACTGGACACTCGACAATAACGAGCCTTGTCGCTCAATAAGTAATTATTTTTTATAGTTGCAAGTTATCCAATTGCCTGATAAAACCATTTATAAAAATGGGAAAAAATTAAAGAAAACAGATTTATTGCACAGCACATAAGAATTTCATATTGTTTGAGACTGTTTCATTTATTAGGTGTTTACAATATAATATTATATCTACGTAAAAATTAAGGCTGGGAATCGAATACGAATAATTCGAGTATTCGAATATTCGAGTATTCGAATACGAATTATTCTAATGGGAAATTATTGGAATATGCGAAAAATTCGAATATTCGATACTCGAATATATTCGAGTATTCGAATATTCGATTATATTTGAGTAAATTTGAATATTAAAATATATTATTAAATCATGTACAAATAGGTATGATGTATGCATCCAACCAAAGCAGGTAGATAGTAGGTATAGGTAGGTATCTATTCTAAAATCCAGATATATAAATAGACCATATTAGTCACGATATAAGAACTTAAGAACTTGTGAATCAAGCTCAAAAATCACATGTCTTCGTATAAATTTATCAACTTTGTGGACAGCACTGACATCAAATTAAATCACAGCTATTAACCAAAAATTATTTTTGGTTCCCAATACTTTGGGGTTAAATTTTTTTTATCGATTTTGCTTACAGAAGGTGCATCCTGTCGATGTTCAACAAGAGTACCTTTTTTACGTAGAAAACACTGCATATTTTATTATCAAAGTTTGGAAAAACTACTTACACATAAAAAGAATAATGATAGCTAAAATTTTCATTATTTTATCTTGAATGGTTTTAGAGATATTCAATAAAATAAAAACCTGCTCAGAAGTCCACTTTTAGGGGGCTGTAGCTTCCTTAGGAAGCATTTTTCGACCCATGTTTATAGAAACTATTTTCTATTTTTGGTCGTAGAAGCCGCTGATAAAGCATTTGCAACTATTTTTGGGACACCCTGTATATTGTTGTAGTAGTAGTTTGTTTGTTGTATAATAATAGTTTGAATAATCAATAAAACATTTTCTGTGTGGCCAATTTCCGCAAGTTTTATTTTTATATTTTTGTTGTTGAAAGCGAGTATTCACTTTAAAATGTCTAAAACCGCAAAAACTTTAATACATAATATTAGGTACATACCAAAATATTCATAACCTATACCTATTTGAATAACCGAATCATTTTAATAATGAATATTCGAAGATCCGGATTATTCGGTTACCTATTCGAATAATTCGAATTATTCGAGTATTCGAATATTCGAATATTCGAATTATTCGAATAGTTCGAATATTCGAATATTTTTTGAACGAATATTCGAATACTAAAATCTGGAAAATTCCCAGCCTTAGTAAAAATCATCTCTGGAATTTATCCCTACCTCCCGATCTCAATATGGGTCGCCATTTTATGCAAACTGCGTTGTAAACTAGGAAAAGCCGTAAAATGAAATAATTAAGATTAAACAACGTAAAAAGTCGTGATTGGAAATTTTTCTATCGTAGCTGCGGGTTCGAATCCCGCCACCAGCACTGGCAGTATCGGAGGGAATGGTGTTGTATGTCCACGTTTTTTCGAAGTGTAACTTCCGTTTAGACAGCTTTAGATTCGGGCGGGGTTGTTTAATTTCTGTGGTGTTTATTGTTATGATATCCTTAAAACTAATCTATATATCAGTAGGTACTTTTTTGTGTTATTTTATATTTATTTACATTCCTATTTCTCGTATAATTTATATTTTATAATTGCTAATTTGTATTACCTGCTCTAAAAGAAACATAATAATTTAATAATTATTTATATTCTACTTCTTATATCTTCAAGGTTATCTCATATTAACCTTGATAAAATCTTCAAGATGTTTGTTGCGTAGTTCATATAAAATATAATATAAACCTTGCCTAAGAGCAATAAAATCGTTTGGAAGAATACAGTCCAATAATTTTGTTCTCAAAATAAATGCAATATCGGAAATATTTTTTGGGCATTTTGTCATTTAACTTCAAAGTTGCCGATTTCAATGCTTTTCTTAAAAAATGTATTTTCTGCAGAATGTTTAAAAATATATGTATATTTAATATCCTCTAGAAACAAAAGTTATTGAAATTTAATGAATCTAAAGTGAGATATTGGCTTGCCAAAATGTCCAAAAAATATTTTTTATATTGCATTTAAGAAAAAGGGCTTTACAGAAAAATTACCATCCAAACCCGTGCATTATTGTTCTTAAATCATAGATTATGTAAAATAGACTTGAATTTTACAGAGTAATGTTACTTTACTATCTATAACTTTTAATAAGTCAGTATATAGTTTCGATACTTTTATTTGGTAATAAAAAATAATAATAATAAGTTTCTGTGAAAACACGATCCGTTACTTAATTTTTAAATAAAAATAATACCACCGTTGTGCCTATGGCATTTTATGTCGCAAAATTGAAGCCACCTCCCTGGTTACTCTAAGTTTGTAAAATCTGTTACGAATTATAAGTATAGAATTAAAAAAATATATGTATTATTTATTTATTTAGGAATACAGCTGGCTAGACATATGTATCTAGTTAAATGGCAGGAAAGTACAAATAAAAATGAAATTCAATACAAAATTTCACAATACAATACTATGCAAAGTGTATAACCATATGATATATTACAAAATAAAATAAAATAAACATTACTAACAAAAATAAAATAATATTCATATACTCGTATATCAAATAGATATCAAGTATGTTTCTAGAAAAAAAAATATTGATTGGGTATTACATAAGCATTCTTTCAAACCTAACATGACAATAATAAATACCTATAGTTTCCTAAATTTTATACTGCCATTCCTATCTGAATGCGCTAGCATAAAAGTTCTAGATATATTATAAATCAAAAACAATACTTTCAATACATTTTATCATAGAAACTATTAAAACCATTACTCAATCTAGGAGCAGCAAAAATTGCATTGAATTAAATAACAGTGTTCTTAGTATTGGAAACAAAAATATATTGAAATTAAAGAGATATTGGCTACGTCTAATAACTGTCTCATTCATTAGCAATTTTGTATGAAAAATTTATTGGGTTAATTTTCTTCATAAAAGTTATAACATTGCAGTTTGATATATTTAAATTCAACTTATTATTATAACACCATGGATTAATTTTAGAGAGATCATGCTGTAATTGATCACAATCTTTATTAGAGTTACAACCAATTTAAAATCGTCAGTATACAAAATAACATTAGTTTGAACATCTCGGCATATGTCACTTATAAACCAAAAGGCAGCCTCTCTTCTGGAAGAATTGTGCATCAAATGGAAAGTCGCAGTCAACGCGGAGAAAAGCCAGACGATTCTCTTCAGGAAAGTACGCAAGGAAACCCTCACGGGACACGTTTCCATGTTCGGCGAGGACATTCAATGGCACGATACCGTCAAGTACCTTGGCGTAATCATGGACAAAGGCCTGACATGAAGACAGAACACCGAAGCCATCGTGATAAAGGCCAAGCGGACGAGAGCTCTCATCTACCCAATAGTCTACCCAATAGTCTACCCAATAGCAGGGAATCAGAGCAGGCTCAATCTGAGGAATAAGCTTCTGTTAGTGAAAGCACTCATCAGATCACAGCTGACCTACGCCTCCGTAGCATGGGGATATCAAGCGAAGACCTATCTGAAGAGGCCGTGGAAAACGTGGCTATCAGGACAGCGGTGGGCACCATGGTACGTTAAAAACGCTGATATCTTCAGAGACCTTGGAGTACACACCAGTCACCGAAATTATCCGGGATAGAGCGAAGACACTGTACACCTTAGCCGAGGAGCATAGGAATCCGCTGATCAGGGAGGCCACCTCCTATGATCCGGCCAAGGCACAAGAGGCCGAAGGTATAGTTACTGGACAACGGGTAAGTATAACGAATCATTTTCTTTACAGATGTACCAACCCACGGAAGAGACATGACGCAACCAACCACCTTCCCACAGACCTTGTGGGCACCGGTCAGTGAACCGACCAGTGTCCGTTGTCCCCCTGGCTCCGTGAAGGACGAAAGTGCTAAGAAAGCACTTAGGCCTTCACCTCCTAGAGCTACACAGTTCATCCTCACCTTGTCCGATGATCCAGATGACAATGTGTCAATTGACACTTTGTGTACTGGCAGTCAATCCCAAGTCACAGAATATCCGCACAGTCCCTGACAGACCAATAACTACCCCCGGGGATGACCAGCTGGCGAAGAAAGAAGACGAAGTCAGAAGAGCGCCAGCAGAGGCCCTAGTCAGCAGGGTTCATCAGCCAGGACCCAGGGAGGTTGGCCTCGGCACCGCTCACATTTGTGAGTGGGGCCATTCGTAAAGTAAGCTAACCCGCCCTGCACGAGGCCGGTCCAGGTTTACAGCGATGACTAGGGTAAAAAGGTAATAGTCCTGCCTGGCCCTAGCATCCGAGACCGTCATCAAGCCAAAAGGATGTTGGCGCGCGGCGTCACTTATAAATAATATAAATAATAGGGGCCCTCTGCTAATAGATGGAAAACCATGATACTTCACATTTCTGTGGCTTCGTGGTAAGGACACTTGCCTCTCACGCTGGAGTCCCGAGTTCGATCCCCGGTCGAGGAGCTAGTATTTTTTCTAAACCAGAAATTAATTCTAGCATACTCGGACATTGGGTGTGTGTCCATTGTCTCTAAATGTGTAGCCCTCTCCCACACAAGTTACATTGAGGCACCTTCAGGGATACAGGGGTTTGTATTATCTGTGATGTTTAATTTAATTAATTAATTTAACTTCCTTTTACCAAGGTAAGATTCAAAAAATTTAAGAAGGTTTAAAGTTAACCCAAATTCTGACAATTTTTGCAATAGGGGCCCATGGTCGAGCCTGTCAAATGCTTTTGATAAATTATATCTACTTAACCCAAACGATCCAATATATCCGCAATAAAATGGGAAAGGAAATATTGTTAAAGAAGCTAAAGTTGACGTCATTTTCCAATATGGCGGCGAACGCAGATCTCGTCTGAGGGAAAAATCTTAGTATAGTTATTAGGTCCCTAAAATAAATGTTGTAAATTTTTAATTTGTTAATTTATTTTGCCAATTTCTTTCATAGAAATGAATGGCTTTTAATTTCTTATGCTTTCTTAGACTGTATTTTGTCCTTCTAAACCTGTAAATCATTGAACTGACTGCCAAACTGGATCCAATATGGCTGAAATATTTCTTTCCTTAAAATGAAATATACCCATCTTGGGTATTAAGCTAATAGTAATTAACGCCACAAAATAAACCAATAGAATTTTGTAATGGTTCAGTATCATCATTAAAAGTAATAAGGTTATAAACTAAGAAGGACCATGTACCATAATTTTTATTGTAAATGTGATGTTAGTACATAACACATTTCAGTAGTTTCAGTAAGTTTCTTAATCCCAAAGGTCATTTTGTGAATCATATAGGAGCTAGGACTTTCAATCTCATAGCTATAGTTACTATTCGTAATCTAAATCATCTGTGTAACACTCAGTTAATTCAGGACTTTTACCACTGTCTCACTTTTCGGTATCCGCTGAACATCATCACATTTCAGTTCATGATAGTCTAATTCATCCAGGTTTTGGTCAATTTTCTGTGTGTAAAATATATATGTACTCGTATTTACTGTACCGATCCCATATGTCACTTTTGGTTATCAAAATAGATCTGATAACAATTAAAAATGATTAATCCAGTAATCTTTGCGTCCCACATCTGTCAGTTAAATTTTCTGATTTTTTTTTAAATAACGAAGTTTTTTGAGACTAGCAAGAATGGTTGCAAAAAAATATTGCATGCAGCGCACCTGGAAAGTGCTTTACTGGGCTCACTGGCTTTCAGGGCTCGCTAGGGCTTGTTCTGGAAATTACTAGCTCGTCCAGTAATGAATCACTTTCCGATTTCGTTACGTAAGTTACTATTAACGTGAGTATTATCAAAATGCGCCCTCCCAAACAGTTTAAGGTATTGTTGGGGCACATAAACTTTAATTATCTTGGCAATGATACCTCGGCGTCGATCAATGTCAAGCGGTTGCCCAAAAAGGAAATGCAATAAAACATCTAAATTCTAGCACAGAATCAGTAGTTAAATTTGTGATTCTAGTAAAGCTGTTGACGGGTAATAAATGGAGGAAATACATAAATATTTTATTTTAATTGAAAGACAAAAATTGAAAAATCTATCGTTTTATAAACAGGGATCAAATATAAACAGGGATAAAACATAACAAATTGAATATATGTTATTAATATAAATAAAAATGAGTAGTGATGAGAGGTATGAAACTTCTCGTATGGTCTAAATGCTACTATCCGACCGACATCATAGATGTCTCTGTGGCGGATAGCGACTTGCGAAGCAAGTACCGAGAGCGGCGACCTCTAGCGCAGGTGGACTAAACTACTGTTATTAAATATGATTTGAAGGAAACAACTACTCAGCGGGCAAATACCCCGACCTGCATTGCATTACACCTTCAAATCATGATAGATCGATAGCCAATATCATTTGTCAATTCCTAACCAGACATAGACCGGTTTCCAACTTATTTGCTCTCCTCAGTATGCCATAGGTTATGGAACAGACAAATGATAGTGGCCAACCTGCTAGTCATATACTAACTAAGGCAAATAGTAGCATTTAAACCATACGAGAAGTTTGATACATCTCACCACTACTCAATTTACCTAAGTTAGTATATGACTAGCAGGTTGGCCACTATCATTTGTCTGTTCCATGACCTATGGCATACTGAGGAGAACAAATAAGTTCGAAACCGGTCTATGTCTGGTTAAGAATTGACAAATGATATTGGCTATCGATCTATCATGATTTGAAGGTGTAATCCAATGCAGGTCGGGGTATTTGACCGCTGAGTAGTTGTTTCCTTCAAATCATATTTAATAATTAATAAAAATGGAGACTAAAAAATAAACATTTGTAACAGACAAAAGAAAATTTTGATCAAGAACAGCGGTCATTTGTCAACTGCTATTTTAGTAACAACACCAATGGCCGGTATTTTTGATAACAAAAGGACTGACAATTGCTTATGTCATCATCAGTAATTCAATTAACCTGTATTTTACGTATAGGGAAACAACTTCCGCCATATTAAATTCAATATGGCGGACATTCCAACGATTTGCTGGTTTAAAAATATAAAATATAATCTATAAAAAAACTTTGTTCAACTAAATTAGTATTTTTTTAATTTAAACTCTCTCTCCTTTCTCATTCGTGTATTCCAGATAACCATCTTTTATAATTCTACACCTTATAAAGAACAAAATGCCATCACTCCCAATATTCATTTTTTCACAAAATTGCATTAGGGACAAAAAATTCACAGTTAGATATCCATTAAATGGGTTCATGTAAAAGGAATAAAAAATGTATTTTTGTTTTTTTTTCTTCGTTTTTAATGAGCAGAATAGTCAGTGTAGACCAAAAACAAACAACAAAGAGTGTTAATTAATTATTTATTTATCTAAAAAATTTATATTTCATAATTTTAAATTTATGCTTAACGCCTAATTTCAAAAATTGCAGTTTCAATTTAGCAAATAACGTTCCTTTTGTTAGAATTAAATTTAATGCTTCTATAAAAAAATACGTATTGTACGTTTCGTTCAAACAAGAAGTCCCGAACCCAACATAACAGTGCTGCCATGCAATGATTTGGAAAAAATCACCCGTTTGTTTTGTTCCCTAAGTAAATAAATTCTGATTTCAGATCCAGTTTGCTGTAATTTAGGTAAAACTCTAGAATATAAAATTTATTTTACCGGTCATAGGTGACCGGAAACCATAGCATATGTGTGCCGCATCCGCTTCTACACATGTATACACACACTCGCACCACCCAAACTTACCCCCTGCATCCCTCTGACGTCACGCATCCGGCCTACTCTCTAATTTATGTTCTACACTGTTTTGTAATTAGTAAGCATTATTTCGCTCGCCTGCGCCATGCCAATTTAACGAATGTTATTTATGTTTTTTCATACTCTCACACTGTCCTACATGGCTATTTTTTATTATGAATAGGCAATATCTCGTGCCTTTATTGCCGCTGATTATAGCGCGTTTTTTAATGAAACGTTACAATTTTACTCGCATATTTTTAATAGTTAATCCAGAGATTTGCGTATTTAACACTCAAAGTTGTAACCGTGGTCAATCTTGACAATTCCAGTGAATTGTAAAAACTCGTTAATAAAAAAACCATTACCACTGCGCTGTACGAGGTACGCTTGAAACACAAGCAAGTGGACTTATAAGTTAAATAATTTAGAATATGAACAATGATGTGACTTTCAGAGGAATATGTTATCAATTAACATTTAATTTATTAAGAAAATGTCACAAAATAAAAAACTCGAAAGATTAATCAGTAGTACCTACATCAAAAGAAAGTGTTCCTTATAAAGTTCTCACCATTGTATAAAATCATTCCTCACAGTCGTTCGACAGAGAAGAAATTGATCTTCTTACCAAGGGATATAATTTTGCATTACCTGCCTTTGAAGGCATTCTTGATGAGATTAGATAGAAATAGAAAGTCAGAATCTACAAAGGACAGAAAAATTATCAAACGGTTGCGTAATAAGGTTGTTATTTTAGATAAAGACGACTATTATGAAAGGGTAGACATCCTGATTAATAATGGTCTTTATAAGGAAACTTTCTAGAAATCCACTACCAAAAATGATTACTAAACTAAGAAATGTACTTAAATCCTGTAACAACCTTATTACTCCAGCTTTAAATAAAAGATTAGATGTATCTAATCCAGGTATATCTAGATTGTACCGATTGCCTATGATACATAAACCAGGAAAGTCAGTGCGTCTTATTGTTTCAACAATTGGATCGCCGACTTACCACCTAGCAAAGTGATTAACAGAGGAGTTTGAAATTTTACCTATTATCACCCAGTATCTCTGTGATTATTTCCAGTCATTTCATTAATAAGGTGAAAAGTATCCAGCTCCAAAAAGATAAAATTTTGATCTCCTTTGACGTCTGTTTATTGTTTTCAAGTGTTCCGACACCACAGACCTTGGACTATTTTAAGTATTTAGTTGGATCAAACAATCTCAGTCAAGATGTAGTAAAAGAATATATTCAATTCATTAAACTTTGCATGAGGCAAAATTGCTTCGATTCAATGATAATTTCCTCGAATAATATGAAGGGACAGCAATGGAAAACTCTTTCTTATCACTCATTGTCAGTCTCTTTATGAACAGATTCGTAGCAGAAGCAAAACAGAATTCGACTACTTCCCCCCGGGTTTGGCTTAGATATGTGGATTGGTCCAACATTCGAAGTGCTTCCTGCGGAGCCAACATAATTCCAGTTTTAGATAAAAACAATTTTTACTTCATTCCGATTGTTATTCAGCGTATCTAGAACATAACTTTTTTCAAATTTAATTATTAATTTTTAGTTGCCTAAAATCCGTTAAACAACTAGCAATGACAGCGCACATGCAAGCGCTTTTGCCACGCCGCCGCTTTGGACGCCTGTCACAACTAAATAATAATTCTCCATAACTTTGTACATGCTCTGTTAGCCAT